AATTCCAACCGCTGACGCGAGATTGTTACGAAAAGCGGGAATTATCGAGGACGCTTCGTCTACAAAAGCAGGCGGATGGATAATACCTTTCTCGGTTGTGGAGGAGAAAACCACCGGTTTGCGACGACGATGGATCGCGTGGCCACGCGACAAGAACAGAGACGACCCTTATGAGGCGAATGTTCCTCTTTTACATATTTATCATTATTTGCCACCTGTGATGGCTGAGGCCGCTTCCTGCCTGGATTTAAAGGCATCCTTTTTTCAATTCTCTTTACCGCGGGAGACTCGGCATCTCTTTCGATGCCGTGTGGAGGACGGCACGCTGGTGGAGCTCACACGGCTCCCAATGGGACACAAGGCCAGCCCAGAAATTCTCCAGATTATTATTACTTCGGCAATTGCGGTGGTGACGACGGTGGTTCACCGCCTCTGGGCCGCACCTCCATTGGTGCGTGTCGACGTATGGATCGGTAATATACGCATTACAGGGTCGATAAGCGATGTGACACCGTGGAAAGCCCAAGTGCTTCGTAATGCGGACAGTTGTCACGCATCCTTGGGGGAGGACCGCGAATCGGGCGCTACGTAGTACACCTTCCTGGGGGTGCAGTTTGATCACACTCACCGGGCGGTATCCCTGAGTGACAAGTTTGTCCGGTCTGTATGCGCCATGCCGTCGCTCAATTCTTCAACCATCGCTGAAATGGAGGTTACGGCGTCACGCCTTTTGTGCGCGGCTGCCACTTTTGGCAGGCGTTTACGCGACTACTACCTTTTCATCAAGGCAGTGCGACGGCGATTATCCGCACTTAACCGGGGGATTGTGGAGAAGACATCCCCGGCGAACCTACCGCCGGCAGCGATTGGTTTGGGCGAGAGGTTGCGACACATCATCGAGAATATAATCGCAAGCGAATCATCAAGCCCACGGAGAAGGCATCGGCCGCCATCATCACGGATGCATCGCTCCATGGATGGGGAGCCGTTTTTATTCCAGACTCCGGCGACGTTAAAATTGCCGGAGGGAAATGGGAGAGGAAGTCTTTTCTTATCATGTAGGCCTAGGCACGCGCGGTACGCTTAGCCTTATCGGCCTTTTCTGCCATCTTGCCACGCGCCATGGACGTTTGTGCGGACAACACTCTGCTGCGAGGAGCGGCGAGTAAAGGCAGCTCATAATCGCACGCCATGACGTGGGATCCGCAACGGATATATAAGTTTTTGGACTCTCGCGTATTACAGGCATCCTTTGCTTACGTGCGGTTTGCAGACAATCCGCAGACGGCATATCACGCGGTCGTGTTTTTACACTTCAGGACATTACGAAGGGGTTTAACTTGCGAAGGGGAGCGGCGGTGTCTTGTGGCTGGAGGACCCCAAAGTCTGCCACTTCTTTAGTTTTTTTTTCCTTACTGGCATGTCCAGCCACACGATGTCATCAGGGTGCCGAGGAGGTGGTCGAGCAGCGACATGAGTTTCCTGCTATGAGGCAGCTGCCATTGGGAGAAGCTTTCGGTACAAAGGTCCTTGTTAATGCCCAGCCGTTGGCCCACAGCCAGAGCGTCTGTACATTCCGGAAGCAGATGGTGCAGTGTTTTCTGCGGGCTGATTGTTGCGCTTGTGGAGGCTGGCTGATCCTGCGGTAGCAGTGATTGCCTCCTGGCACTGCTGCTGCGGTGCCTGTCAGCGTCTGGGTTTTGTGCGCGGCGATTTCTGTGCGGTGCTTTTTTTGTGTGGGGAGGACCGTGTCGCAGCAATCGCGGTGGAGGTCGGGAAGCGGTGGAGGGCGTTCCGGATGAAAGCACCGACAGTGACCGATGTGGTTCGTGTGTCCCACCAGTGTGGCGTCACAGTGCGGGCATTTCTTCTTTCGACGGCGTGTGGAGGGCCGTCTCTCCACAGGCGGTGCGTCGGCCTCCCTTGTCGTCGGGGGAACAGCTTCCGTCCCGGTGCGGTGGGATCGTCGTTGGAGCGCATGAAAGCGGACTGTTCCGGTGAGATGTTGCGGAAACGGCGTTGGTTCGTGCAGTCTCTCACAGTCCAGTACAGGCGACCCCAGAGCTCGGATTCCCCGCACCCTTCCCGTGCAATGTTTGTCCGTTCCTGTTGGTCGAGGGCTTCCTGAGTGATCAGGTCCTTAACGCTGAGATCTGATGGCCTGGCGCCGCCAAGCAAGTAGTGGTGGGTGTCCTGATGCATGGTGCTACGCCACTTGTTGGTGAGCTGGGTGTTAATGCATGTCAGCAGGTCCGTGTGCCGTATGGGTGCTATTCCATGCTCCGTGTGTTGCCCGGTTGTCGTGGCCTGCGTCGCATGCTGATCTGCAGGCTCGTTAACGTGTACTCCGCGATGTTCGTAGCAAAAATGCAGCTGCACGGACCAGCCGGCACGCGTTAGCGACAAGAGACGCTGCCAGATCCTATCCTCCGTCCAGTCGGTATGACTGTGCGGGCCCTTGGTGACGGCGGCTAGAAGGGAATGACTGTCTGTAACCACAAGCAGGGTTTTTGTCTGTGCTGGACACGAGGGACACTCAGCCTTTCCATGGCCGGGAGCAGTGCACGGGACTCCGTCGTGCGGCTGCATGGGCGTGTGCCGCCGTTGGTACTGACCTTCTCTATTATCTCCGAGGAACGCGGGGATGAGAGCAGTATGCCAATCCCGGCTGACTTGGGAATGCCAACACCGCCATCCGTTGCTAGTATCCACGGTCCCCAGCGATGACGTTGCACCTTGTCGCGGTGCTGGGCTCTGTTTGCGTATAGGAACTCCGCAGCAGGGCGTTGCCGCGAGCACGACGGAGACCAAGGTGACTTCATTCCCCGAGAAGGTTCCACGCCATGCCCGGTGTGGGGAGGTGAGGCGGTCTGCCTGCAGACTGTCGGACAGAACTGCACGACCGTTTCGCAGCGGTCACTCCGTTGATATCACCCGTGGCGGTGACGTTCACAAGAACCCTGCCACCGAGGAGGATGGCTTCATCAATATTTGGCGGCTTAACATTGCAGGCCTCTCGTCCGTAAAAAAATCGCATTTGCTGCGCGATTGGAGCAGCGTCCACCTGACACCGTTCTTCTGCAGGAAATAAGTAACCGTGGTGACGTGGCGACGAAATTATGTGGCCATAATGACTACCTTCAGGCCTCACTGGGCGCGGTGGTGGTGTTGCTGTTCTGGTGCGCCACTCTCTACCGTGCGAGCGCCTGTCGCTCCCTGGCACTGACCTCCTGGAGACCATTGCTGTCCGTGTATTTCCGCCGGGCTGTCGCAGCATTTGCGTGGCGAGTCTCTACAACCCTCCCACAGCAATTGGTCAATAATCCGCATTTATCAATATCGTTTGTCGCTTGTGCCCGAAGAGATTATCGCGGGTGACCTGAATTTGCATCGTGAACTCTGGGACAGTCATATGTACCATCAAGGACTGGAGGCGATAATTTCGCCGCTGTTCTAATCGATATGGATTTTGGGCTGGCAAATTACCCGACACAGGCAACACGGATTACACATCGTAATGCCTCGTCCCCTGACGTGACTGCGTATTGCGCCCTACGCATCTCCCACTGGACATTCGCCCCTTACATGGACTCGAACCACTGCTTAATATCTTACTTGGTAGAGATGGACGATGGCACTCCACGACTAGCAAACACGCTGCCTTGACGGAAGAAAGCCACCTTTGCCCTGCGCAAAGCGGGTTGGCCTGGTTTTACATCGTTGTGTGAAACCCTCCTTGCCACCGCGTCCACATGGTTGGATCCTCGCGGAGGCATCTTACGAGCAGCTGAGCGCCACATCCCGCGCGGCAGCCGTGACAGCTCCAAAAAGACATGGACACACGAAATGGAACAGGCCGAGTCCGCCGCCGAAGCAGCACACGAAGCACACACATTGCCTCACCTGGAGACAGCCTACTTTGAGCCGAATGTACCCGAAAAAAGGGAGGAGCGAAATCAAGCCTTACGCTGTTGCTCCGCTGTGCTTCTGGAAGCCCGCGCGAAAAGACTTGGAGCCTCACCCAGCCCGAGCTGGCGATATCTTCACGGCGTGGTGGCGCCGCACCCTCATTTTTTGGAATCGGTTGTGCTCCGCACTGAACTTGGCTGCGTATGCGCCCTGCCTCGGCAACAGGCAAATCTGCCTGTTCGTCATTTTGTGCGGTTTCACGTGCCATACCGCCTTATACTGCTGCTGCTGCTTGCTGCACTCCTTTGGTTCCTGGTGGCTGGGAAATGGATCGGCCTTTCCGCCGTATGAACTTGACGTGACCATCCGTGACTCTTTGCTTGGCTCAGCCCCTGGCCCCGGCGACATGTTGAGTGAATTCCTGCACCGTCTCGGGCCCGTTGCGCGTGGCACACTTAGAACGATGATCCACAACCCCTTCGCAAATGGCAGCCTGCCTGGCTCCTGGAAAATGGGAGACGCTATTTCTATCCCCAAGCCTGGGAAGGATCCATGCTGCCCAGAGAGTTACAGACCCATCACGCTGCTCTCTGTTTTACTAAAGTTAACCGAAGGAATGATTCACCGCCGTCTGTCAGCGTTATTGCCGCACCACCCACGTCAATTTCGGATTTGCACCTCCGCGTTCTACGTCGGACGTGGTGGCACTTGTTATCGACACATTACTCGTGGACTGAATGAGTTTGGCATTGTGGAGCATGAGCGCCCTGGAGACGACGCCCCCACACGACGCCCTCGTCGCCATCGCTTGTGGTCTCGATTGATTTTCCGACTGCGTTCGACACCACTGACCATGGGAATTTATTCGGCATGCTTGACAGACTTCCGCGCCTTGGCCTCGAACCAAACGCTGGCTGCACAACCACCTGCGGGGCCGCTATGTTAGGGTATGCACTCGTGAACAGCACTCCCGGAAACAGCTCGCCTCAGCTGGAGCACCGCAAGGCGGCGTCCCGCGACCCCAACTCTTCCTCTGCTGTGTGGATGGTCTGCTGCGCCGCCTGGACAGCATCTATTCTGCCGCCGCTTTCATGTACGCTGACGAACACACACTTGTTGCCTTGTGTGCAGACATCCATGCCTGTGCTGCGGCAATGCGACCGCTCTTGTCTCTTGTTGTCACATGGGCTGCCGAGCACAGCCTAAAAATCAACGTCGCTAAGAGCGAAGCTGCTCTATTCCACATCTCTTCACACACACACACACGGTCTGACGAGGACATGGTCGATCCCCATCTTGTTAGCGGGAACCTGCGTATTCAGTCACGCCCAGTGCGCTTGCTGGGCAACACGTTTGATCGACTTCTTAATTGTGTTACGCATGCTTCCACCGCTGCAAAGAGGGCCATGCCACGCCGCTATCAGCTGCGTCTGGTCGCAGAGGCGGGCGCGTCCCATCACACCATGCGATCCTTTTTGATTGGATGCGTTCATAGTGTGCTATTTCATAATGGCGAGGCAATTGTCCCGTGACTCGCCCCCACTCACCACCATAATATGGAGGTACGGTACCGCGACGGTAGCAAAGCATTCTTTGCCTGAGCGCCTCTACGGAAGACACATCTCTCTATTTGGAGGCCAATATTCTTCCGCTCCGGAAGATACTCTGGCGTCGTGCACTCACACAATACGGACGCTATATACGCCTCCATGATCACGAGGATTTGCGTTCCCTTATCTACTCGCAACCTATGCCTTCGTCCATGCATGGGAAAGCGGCGACATCGATCCGCTTCCGAGAGATGCTGCTATTAATGGATTGCTACGCGTCTGTGACACTATTGGGACACCCCACAACCACATTCGCGCGCCTCTTGCCCAACATCGAATTTTCCCTGGGACACTGCGATCTGCAACAGCGTGAGATTTTATCAGCCACTGTTTGCCAAAGACGCCTCTGACGATGTCGGGCGCACGGCTTTTTATTCTACTCACTCCTCTTTGGGGGATTGTGATTTTGAATTGTGGACGGACGGTCCTTCATGCCTCGCTGCACTCGCGTCTGGATCCGCTGCGCTATTATATGACTCCACCACGACAAATGATCTCCCTGTGGAGGTACATCGTGCAGCAGCTGGCAGCCTCGCATGCTCATGTAGGGCAGACTGCCTTGCGATCGAAAATGTTTTTAGACATCTCATACCTCCTTGTCTGGAAACATCCCAATCTCCCACACGAATGCTGGAGGAAACGGACTCCCTCTCGGCAATGGAGGCACCCCGCGTTGCCCACCGACCGTGCGAGACCGCGTTACTGAGTAAATTTGGATTATGCTGCTTTCCTTGGTGAAGCGAGGTCACCCTGTGGATTTTATATTTTCCCATCACACTGCGGTATTCCACGCAGTGAGGCCGCTGACAAACAAGCCACGATTGCACGATTCCTCTCGCAGGACTGCGTCAATGCCTGGCACATGGACTTCCTCACTGCAGTGAAGCGACGGCACTGGAAGGATGCCCAGGAGGAAAAGGAGGGCGAGCACACCGCGTGACAGGCGCCTGTCGGTGTGGCGAGGACTCTATTCCTGGTGTTGACCCGGACATTGGTCCCCGAGTGGCGGCACTGCGCACAGGCGCGATGCGACTCCTGCCCACTCTTCGACAGGCCTGCACGCGCCCTGCGGATCACAATGAACCCTCTGTGTCGGTGGCGCCGTCCCTCCCTCACTGCGGTGGCCGGCCCGCCTCTGCCTCCGCCGGAACCTCTTCCCGACGTGAGCACCGCGACTCCTTGTCGACCAGCGAGCGGCGGATTGACGTCCTCCTGCCCAACCTGCGGCAGAGTGCGCTTGTCCGTCCACAGTATGAGGGCACATACCGGACGTGCTCAGCCTGGCGTTATAATAGTTTGCGAGGGCCTCCCATGCGGATGCCACAATGGCGCCACCGTCTTCCTAACGGGTGCCTCGCGCGCAGGTTGCCGCCAAAGTTGCCAAGCATGCCAGCAGGCAACACACGCAGGAAGCACAAACGCGGGTACTCGAGATGGACCAGGCTCTTCCGCCATCGCCTCATCACGGACGCCACGGGCTGCTGATCCCCGACGGACCACGGGAGACTCCGCCTCATCCACTGCGGGAATGCCCTCGTCGTTGGGAACTGGGACTGCGACTGTTTGTGACTGCCCCAGCCCGCACGACGGAATACTTGCCACTTTTGTACGGACGGCCCTTGCGCTACCCAATCGCTATTGTAGCAGCATACAACCAAAACAAGATAACAGGCTACTTTGTGGTGAATATTGGCTGCACTTCCCGTGGACCAACAATCCGCGTGGTGTGCGGGGATCTCCTTTTTCATTGTTACTTTGCTTTTGTGTTGCTGTGTGCGCTGCACCTTCTTGTGTGTGTGCGCACCCTCCGCGAGGGGTGCCGACACGACGGACCGCTCTCGCCGCATGCACATGCGGTGGAGCCTTGTGTGCCGCTCCTGTTTGCTTCTCCCTCTTCCATCTGTGTGTTGGTGCTGCGGCAGGGCTGTGTGTGTGTGTGCCTGCTGCCGTGGATTGGAGTGTGTGTTGTGCGTGGTGTGCGGCATACGGTGCATGCCTGGCTGCTGCCCTCTCCTCATGTGGTGTGCCCACTGCGTGTGTCTGCCGCACCTCTCGTCTCCCCTGTTGCTCTCCATTTCCCTCACTGTGCAGATCAGCTCCACACCACTGAACGACCACACTCACGATGATGACGTGCCGTCTGCTGTGCGCCCTGTTGGTGCTCGCCATGTGCTGCTGCTCGTCCGTGTGCGTGGCAGACGCTCAGTCTGTGCCTGAAGGGTCTTCCAATACGACCACGACGACGACCACAACAAAACCACCGACTACGACCACCACCACCACAACAAAACCACCAACTACAACCACCACGACCACAACACAGGCACCAACCACGACGACCACTACTACAACAGAGGCACCAAGCACTACGACTACAGAGGCGCCAGCTGTGTCGACCACCAGCGCACCGTCACGTCTTCGCAGAATCGACGGCAGCCTCAGCAGCTCTGCGTGGGTGTGTGCCCCGCTGGTGCTTGCCGCATCCGCGCTGGCGTACACCACTGTGGGCTGAAGAGGTGTGTGCGGGCTGTGCGTGCCAGCACTCAACCGCGGGGATTTGTGCGCGTGTGTTGTGGTTCACTGTATAAAATAAGAGGAAATAATGATCTTGTTTTGCTTCACTTGCTTCCGCTGCCGTGCTGTGTGCTCCGCGTTGTGCCCCGCATCCGTCACGTTGAACGCATTGCGGACACACTCATAAGCATGCGCACTGGAGCCCTGGGTTTGTTTTCTTTTTTCTTTTTTAACTATTGTTTTTTAATTATTGCTTTTTAATTATTGTTTTTTTATTGCTTTTAAACTTGTGGTTTGCGGGGCGGTGTGCGAGCTCTGCAATCGTACTGATTCCATCTGTCTCGTGGTGTGTGCGCTGCTGCTGGGGTGCTGTCGTTTGTTGCTGTGCGTGGTGTAGCGGCTGTGTCTCCTTTTGTTTTTCTCGTGCTATCGGAGGTTGGCTCCGCAGCGTTAGGCGACTCCACTGTTCGTGATGATGACTGGCCGTGTGCTCTGCACCCTGTTGGCTCCTGCAGTGATGCGCAGCTGCTCGTGTGTGTGAGTGAGGGCTGCTGCGACGGGGTGCGTGTGCGGCCGCGGGTGATGGCGCGGTGACTGCTGGGCACGCGCGGGGTGTGATGGCTGCGGAAGGTGGACCTGTGGCCGGTGGCTCTGGACGAAGGGGGAATGTGCACTCTGAGGACAATAGCAATCAGGAAGACGAGGAGGGTGGAGGAAACACCGTGGGTGAGGACCCCAATCCCACCTCGGCAGGAGCACTCACTGCTCCGACGAGACAGGAACAATCCAGCAGCGACCCACTGCGAAGTGGCACTTGCAATCCGTCCGGCACTGGCAGCGCGTCTGCTGCTCGGATGCGTGCAAGTGGACCGGAGTCTTTGGGCGGAGGGCACGCTGCAGGCACAACATTCCCACGCTCCGACGCATCTCAGCAGGCAGCGGGTGGAGTGCATGCTGTTGGCGGGAGGACCTCCCAGGGCAGTCAGGCTTCGGAACAAACCGTCACGGGACAGTCACAGGTGCCAGGGACGGCGAAGGAAGCACCGCAGGGCGATGAAGGAGGAGAACCCGGAGCGCAACACGAGGCCGACCAAACCACAAAAATGACTGTGGTGACCTCTTGCGCAAAAACAGCGGTGGAAGAGGAGAGCCGCCAGCGGGATCGCAAGATGCACCACGTCTCTATAGTGGCGGGAATGCTCATTATTATTATTTTTCCCTGCTTTTACCGAAATGTCTAGCCACACGATGTCATCAGGGTGCCGAGGGGATGGTCAAGTAGCGACATGAGTTTCCTGCTATGAGGCAGCTGCCATTGGGAGAAGCTTTCGGTGCCAAGGTCCTTCTTAATGCCCAGCCGTTGGCGCACAGCCAGAGCGTCTGTACATTCCGGAAGCAGTTGGTGCAGTGTTTTCTGCGGGCTAATTGTTGCGCTTGCGGAGGCTGGCTGATCCTGCGGTAGCAGTGATTGCCTCCTGGCACTGCTGCTGCGGTGCCGAGTGGCGTCTGGGTTTTGCGCGCGGCGATTTCTGTGCTGTGCGGTGCTTTTTTTGTGTGGGGAGGACTGTGTCGCAGCAATCGCGGTGGAGGTCGGGAAGCGGTGGAGGATGTTCCGGATGAAAGCACCGACAGTGACCGATGTGGTTCGTGTGTCCCACCAGTGTGGCGTCACAGTGCGGGCATTTCTTCTTTCGACGCTGTGTGGAGGGCCGTCTCTCCACAGGCGGTGCGTCGGCCTCCCTTGTCGTCGGGGGAACAGCTTCCGTCCCGGTGTGGTGGGATCGTCGTTGGAGCGCATGAAAGCGGAGTGTTCCGGTGAGATGTTGCGGAAACGGCGTTGGTTCGTGCAGTCTCTCACAGTCCAGTACAGGCGACCCCAGAGCTCGGATTCTCCGCACCCTTCCCGTGCAGTGTTTATCCGTTCCTGTTGGTCGAGGGCCTCCTGAGTGATCAGGTGCTTGCCGCCTGGATCTGATGGCCTGGCGCCGCCAAGCAAGTAGTGGTGGGTGTCCTGATGCATGGTGCTACGCCACTTGTTGGTGAGCTGGGTGTTAATGCATGACAGCAGGTCCGTGTGCCGTATGGGTGCTATTCCATGCTCCGTGTGTTGCCCGGTTGCCGTGGCCTGCGTCGCATGCTGATCTGCAGGCTCGTTAACATGTACTCCGCAATGTTCGTAGCAAAATGCAGCTGCTCGGACCAGCCAGCACGCATCAGTGACAAGAGACGCTGCCATATCCGATCCTCCGTCCAGTCGGTATGACTGTGCGGGCCCTTGGTGACGGCGGCTAGAAGGGAATGACTGTCTGTAACCACAAGCAGGGTTTTTGTCTGTGTCGGATACGATGGACACTCAGCCTTTCCATGGCCGGGAGCAGTGCACGGGACTCCGTCGTGCGGCTGCATGGGCGTGTGCCGCCGTTGGTACTGACCTTCTCTATTATCTCCGAGGAACGCGGGGATGAGAGCAGTATGCCAATCCCGGCTGACGTGGGAATGCCGACACCGCCATCCGTTGCCAGTATCCACGGTCCCCAGCGATGATGTTGCACCTTGTCGCGGTGTTGGGGCTTTGGTTGCGTATAGGAACTCCGCAGCAGGGCGTTGCCGCGAGCACGACGGAGACCAAGGTGACTTCATTCCCCGAGAAGGTTCCACGCCATGCCCGGTGCGGGGAGGTGAGGCGGTCTGCCTGCAGACTGTCGGACAGAACTGCACGACCGTTTCGCAGCGGTCACTCCGTTGATATCACCCGTGGCGGTGACGTTCACAAGAACCCTGCCACCGAGGAGGATGGCTACATCAATATTTGGCAGCTCAACATTGCAGGCCTCTCGTCCGTAAAAATATTGCATTTGCGGCGCGATGGGAGCAGCGTCCACCTGACATCGTTCTTCTGCAGGAAATAAGTAACCGTGGTGGCGTGGCGACGAAATTATGTGGCCATAATGACTACCTTCAGGCCTCACTGGGCGCGGTGGTGGTGTTGCTGTTCTGGTGCACCACTCTCTACCGTGCGAGTGCCTGTCGCTCCCTGGCACTGACCTCCTGGAGACCATTGCTGTCCGTGTATTTCCACCGGGCTGTCGCAGCATTTGCGTGGCGAATCTCTACAACCCTCCCACAGCAATTGGTCAATAATCCGCATTTATCAATATCGTTTGTCGCTTTTGCCCGAAGAGATTATCGCGGGTGACCTGAATTTGCATCGTGAACTCTGGGACAGTCATATATACCATCAAGGACTGGAGGCGATAATTTCGCCGCTGTTCTAATCGATATGGATTTTGGGCTGGCAAATTACCCGACACAGGCAACACGGATCACACATCGTAATGCCTCGTCCCCTGACGTGACTGCGTATTGCGCCCTACGCATCTCCCACTGGACATTCGCCCCTTACATGGACTCGGACCACTGCTTAATATCTTACTTGGTAGAGGTGGACGATGTCACTCCACGACTAGCAAACACGCTGCCTTGACGGAAGAAAGCCACCTTTGCCCTGCGTGAAGCTGATTGGCCTGCTTTTACATCGTTGTGTGAAACCCTCCTTGCCACCGCGTCCACATGGTTTGATCCTCGCGGAGGCATCTTACGAGCAGCTGAGCGCCACATCCCGCGCGGCAGCCGTGACAGCTCCAAAAAGATATGGACACACGAAATGGAACAGGCGGAGTCCGCCGCCGAGGCAGCACACGAAGCACACACATTGCCTCACCCGGAGACAGCCTACTTTGAGCCGAATGTACCCGAAAAAAGGAGGAACGAAATCAAGCCTTACGCCGTGGCTCCGCTGTGCTTCTGGAGGCCCGCGCGAAAGGACTTGGAGCCTCACTCAGCCCGAGGTGGCGATATCTTCACGGCGTGGCGGCGCCGCACCCTCATCCTCTGGAATCGGTTGTGCTCCGCACCGAACTTGGCCGCGTATGTGCCCTGCCTCGGCAACAGGCAAATCTGCTTTTTCGTCATTTTGTGCGGTTTCACGTGCCATACCGCCTTATACTGCTGCTGCTGCTTGCTGCATTCCTTTGGTTCCTGGTGGCTGGGAAATGGATCTGCCTTTCCCGCCGTATGTACTTGACGTGACCATCCGTGACTCTTTGCTTGGCTCAGCCCCTGGCCCCGACGACATGTTGAATGAATTCCTGCACCGTTTCGGGCCCGTTGCGCGTAGCACACTTAGAACGATGATCCACAATTCCTTCGCAAACGGCAGCCTGCCTGGCTCCTGGAAAATGGGAGACGCTATTTCTATTCCCAAGCCTGGGAAGGACCCATGCCGCCCAGAGAGTTACAGACCCATCACGCTGCTCTCTGTTTTACCAAAGTTAACCGAAGGAATGATTCACCGCCGTCTGTCGGCGTTATTGCCGCACCACCCACGTCAATTTCGGATTTGCAACTCCGCGTTCTACGTCGGACGTGGTGGCACTTGTTATCGACAAATTACTCGTGGATTGAATGAGTTTGGCATTGTGGAGTATGAGCGCCCTGGAGACGACGCCCCCACACGACGCCCTCGTCGCCATCGCTCGTAGTTTTGATTGATTTTCCGACTGCGTTCGACACCACTGACCATGGGAATTTATTCTGCATGCTTGACAGACTTCCGCGCCTTGGCCTCGAACCAAACGCTGGCTGCACAACTACCTGCGGGGCCGCTATGTTAGGGTATGCACTCGTGAACAGCACTCCCGGAAACAGCTCGCCTCAGCTGGAGCACCGCAAGGCGGCGTCCCGCGACCCCAACTCTTCCTCTGCTGTGTGGATGATCTGCTGCGCCGCCTGGGCAGCATCTATTCTGCCTCCGCTTTCATGTACGCTGACGAACACACACTTGTTGCCTTGTGTGCAGACATCCATGCCTGTGCTGCGGCAATGCGACCGCTCTTGTCTCTTGTGGCCACATGGGCTCCCGAGCACAGCCTAAAAATCAACGTCGCTAAGAGCGAAGCTGCTCTATTCTACATCTCTTCACACACACACGGTCTGATGAGGACATGGTCGATCTCCATCTTGTTAGCGGGACAATAAGCATTCAGTCACACTCAGTGCTCTTGCTGGGCAACACGTTCGATCAACTTCTTAATTGTGTTACGCATGCTTCCACCGCTGCAAAGAGGACCATGCCACGCCGCTATCAGCTGCGTCTGGTCGCAGAGGCGGACGCGTCCCATCACACCATGCGATCCTTTTTGATTGGATGCGTTCATAGTGTGCCATTTCATAATGGCGAGGCAATTGTCCCGTGACTCGCCCCCACCCACCTCCATAATATGGAGGTACGGTACCGCGACGGTAGCAAAACATTCTTGGCCTGAGCGCCTCTACGGAAGACACATCTGTCTATTTGGAGGCCAATATTCTTCCGCTCCGGAAGGTACTCTGGCGTCGTGCACTCACACAATACGAACGCTGTATACGCCTCCATGATCACGAGGATTTGCGTTCCCTTATCTACTCGGAACCTATGCCGCCGTCCATGCATGGGAAAGCGGCGACATCAATCCCGCTTCCGAGAGATGCTGTTATTAATGGATTGCTACGCGTCTGTGACATTATTGGGACACCCCACAACGACATTCGCGCCTCTTGCCCAACATCGAATTTTTCCCCTGGGACACTGTGATCTGCAACAACGTGAGATTTTATCAGCCACTGTTTGCCGAAGACGCCTCTGACGATGTCGGGCGCACGGCTTTTTATTCTACTCACTCCTCTTTGGGGGATTGTGATTTTGAATTGTGGACGGACGGTCCTTCATACCTCGCTGCACTCGCGTCTGGATCCGCTGCGCTATTGTATGACTCCACCACGACAAATGATCTCCCTGTGGAGGTACATCGTGCAGCAACTGGCAGCCTCGCATGCTCATATGGGGCAGACTGCCTTGCGATCGAAAATGTTTTTAGACATCTCATACCTCCTTGTCTGGGAACATCCCAATCGCCCACACGAATGCTGGAGGAAACGGACTCTCTCTCGGCAATGGAGGCACCCCGCGTTGCCCACCGACCGTGCGAGACCGCGTTACTGAGCAAAT